TACATGATAGTGTATGTTTTCAATCTTATTTACTCCTTCAGTTTCCTCCAAAGGGAGGCAATATCCTGGGTACACATGGGAGTCTGGCATATTTCACTTCTGAGTATGGTCTCTAGATAAGAGCCTCAAGTTTATCTTTCTTTATGGCTAAGTACAACTCCGTCGTGTATAAATACCACATCCATTCTTCAGTTGGTGGAGATTGGGTTCTTTTTAACCTCTTTTTTGAACAAAATTGGACAAATATGACAAAATCTTTCACTTTAGACTTCTTTTATTGCTATCCATGTTCTTTCATTTTTTTCATGAAATGATGTTTTCCAGGTACAATTTATAAGTTGAAATTTAGTCTAAACCTGTAACTTCAAGAGACAACTATGTAAGAAATAAAATGATAAAATTCAAAATCTGAAGCTTCTAATGAAGAAAGCACTAAGTTTTTAGGAGATGATCCATTCCTTCAAGACACTTTTGAGTACCGTTGTTATGTGGAGAGTGTTTTGTCTGTAAATGTAGATAACTTTAAAGTGGAAAAAGAAGGTGAAAAGTCTAGAGACTCATCTACAGTGCATAAGTGTCACAGAATTTTGAAGAGATTAGTGGAAACCCTGAGTAATAGGAGGACCTCATTAGGTGCACCCCAATCAGGTAGACTTTAGTCCTAAAGCCTGAGTGCAGGACCAGGGCAAGGCTCCAGGGTTATACAAAGGGCAGGTGTTTCTTTTTGTCATTGTTGCTGTTCAGGAGCACACAAATAGCTCACACTTCAAAGAGAGGCAGATATTCTTGAAGTAAATGTTTGGTTCCTTAAAAACTTTTCAATCTCTGGTGACAGGAAGATGTCATAACCCTGGATGTTGCAGATGCCATGGGGAATTACATAGAGGACTCTTTCTTCAGAACTGTCATGGTCATTGCTGTCAGGAATGCAGCAGAGGTCAGCCTTCAGGAAAGCAGATCCCCATGGGGACAGGCCATAGGATTCTGTTGAGTGGATCACAGATGTTAATCTTATCTGTACCCTTGCACAAGGTGTGTACTTTTAGGGAGGGGACTTCTCTGGAAAATTTGTTCAGGGTTTGTTTTCTTGGGAGTTCTGCTTTATTTAAGGAGTTCATATCTGCTAAGAGGCAAGATTCTCTTTTGTGGGCTCCGAACATAGGCTCCCCTGAGTGGCAAGCAAGGCTGGTCAGCTGAACAACAAACACGATTCCTCAGACCCTCAGAGCTCAGTAGGAACCCAGCACTGACACCTGGTACGAGCGGAATTCTGAGGGCTGGGATGAGCAGGACAATGGAGACAGCCAGAAGGAGGTAGTCAGAGGTGAAGTTCAGCATCTCAGGAGGGGACAGGGACAGGTAAAAGCCAGCTTGGTGATATGAGAGTCATTGACTCACCCAGCAGGAGCTGGGTGAGGGTGGCAAAGGGATATGCCAGTCATAGGAGATTTTTGCTCACCTCACATTGTGTTCACTGGAATTTGAGACTATGCAAGTGAGATTTTTTTTAAAAATTTATGAAGGGCCAGAGAGATGGCTCAGTGGAATAAGCATTTCCCTGGCAAGCGCAAGGGCCTGAGTTCAATTCCCAGTTCTGAAAAAAAAATTATGAAGTAAAGAACTCAGGATACTGTAGCAGACCTTATTTAGCAGGCAAAATAAGAATATAAATACTTATGATTAATAACTTTGCCCTAACTGCTTCTACTGTTCCAATGATCGTCCCGTTTCCTTTGCAGAAGAGATGGTGCGAGTCATGACACTTCCTCTGCCACTGCTGTTGGGCCTACTGGGGCTGCCATGTCCTCTTTGGGCTGGGCCTCCGGGTTGCAGCCCATTTCAGTGGTTCCAAGTTCAGCACATCCAGCCAAACCCTCTCTCGTGCGACCAGGCCATGATTGCTGTCAACAGACCTTGCCAGAAGTGCAAGCCTAGAAACACCTTCCTGCACGACTCTCTCCAGAATGTGATTGATGTCTGTAAACAGGACACCACGGGCTGCAGCTATGGCCACCGAAGTGTCCGTCCTGTGAGAATGACTGACTGCCAGCTCGTTGGAAATAGCCAGTTTCCTAACTGCCACTACACTGATACTCACATCACCAAAAACTTCATTGTGACCTGTGACCCGCCGTATTGGGATGACCCTCAAGATCCCCTGGTTCCTGTGCACTTGGATAAAATTATCTAAAGTTTTGTTCAGCTTTTGTCTGTCATCACAGGTAGTCTCTATTACAGCTTCTTCTGCTTTTCCTGCTTTGCTCCTTTTCCTTCCTCATCTTTCTTTTTGATTTTCTTGTTTTCACAAAAGCAAGATTGGAGGTTTTGAGGAAGTAAAGAACTCAGGATACTGTAGCAGACCTGGGGCTGAATGTATAGATGAATAATTCCTTTGTTCTCAGAAATCTGTCTGTCTTGTTGCAAGGCAATGCATAAAGGGGGAAAGTTCTAGGCCTTTCTCACATTTGCCAGTCTCATCACACTGCATTCTCAGCAATAAAAGAAATTCCTACTGCTTTCAAGGGAGTGTGAGTGTGCTTTTATCACCTCGCAAAGCACCTCCCACCTGTATTCCAAGAGCCTTTTCCCTCGGTTCCTATGGTGCTGTGTGGTAGGTCCCACAGATGGATTCCTGAGTTGTGTGTATGTCGAGTGCAGAATTGCAAGTGCACATCCATTGACAAAGGATGAAGCAACTACATTTTTTGAAGATGGCAGGAAGATGTACTCAGGTAGCAGGAACACAAAAGTGGTGTCAGGATAACGGGAAAATAGAAAGCACATGGATACGTCAGGCTTTCAATTTGGCTTGCATCTAGTACCAGGGATTGAACTCAGAACCTTAGCCACTGAACTATCTCTGCAGCCACAGGTTTTGCATTCCCAAGCCCAGGGGTCTCTCTCTGGGTCTCTGGATAAGATTGACAGCAATGATTAACAGGGGGCTGAATAATCTCAGAGGCACTGTAATTGCACTTGTGCCTCAGGGTTCACACTCAGAATATTAGGCACATGAGGTACAGTCCATGTCTGTGAACTTTTAATGAGATTCAAAGGGACAAAAACATGCCCCAGGACACTGTCTAGTGTCCATGTACTCTGGCCTGGCACCCTATAGATTGTCTGTGCCTTTGTTATTTTTCTTTCTGCTTGTTGCAGAGCAGTGTAAGGAGAGATGGCCTGGGGTGTTGCCTAAATTTAGGTGGGAGGAGGGGGAGTGGTCTCCACCCCAGTGTGCTGCCTGCACTACCTGGACCTCCTTAGAGGTCAACCAAGCCCTTTGCCCCTGTGTCTCCATCAGTGCAAGATTGGAGTCCTCCGTCCCTTCACACTCGGCCCAGCATTGTTTTATTTGTACCTGAAGACAGAGTCCCTTCTCATTTGGAGGTGAAGCACATGCCAGAGAGAGAGAATCATCTTTTCTCTTTTATTCATTCTGTGTCAGGACATTGGTGGGTAATTGGGAATTAAAACAGGAAAAGGCTATACTATAACCACAATTGTTTTTATTTATTTTTTAAAATTTTAAGACAGGATCTACCTTATTTTCTTTTTAGATTCTGCCTTAAGTTGACCTCAAATTCACAATCTGAGCTTCATTATTAAATAGTGCTGCAAACCTGGCTTTCCACATGCCAATGACTAAAATTAGACCCATGCTTATCACCATGCACTAGACTGCAGTCAAAATGGACCAAACACTGAAACATTCAAACAGACACTAAGCTTTCTGCAGGAAAACACAAGTGGAAATGTGTAAAATGTAGGGACAGATAGAGAGTTAATGAACAAAAGCCAAACTGCATGGGAAATACTTCAAAGAATCAACAACTGGGATATCATCTTTTTATATACTTTCTGCACTTCAAAGAAAATCTCCCACAGAATAAAAACAAAACCCAAAAACTGGGAAAATATTATAGCCAACTGTCCCTCCCACAAAGGCCTTTTATCTAGATCATATAATGAATTAAAAAATCAGGCTCCCCAAATTCAAAGATTCAATCCCAAAATCTTCATCTGAAAAGTGTATGTTCATCTCAGGTGACTAAATACAAATGGCAGGTAAGTATATGAAGAATGCTCAATATGATTGATCATCTGAGAAATGCAAATTAGAACAACACTGATATTCCATCTCAGCCAGGAAGAATGGCTAACATCAAGAAGTCAGCCAATAACAAATGCTGGAGGGGCTGTGGGGAAAAAGGAGCACTTCTCTATTGTTGGTGGGTGTGCAGAGTGGTACAACAGCTATGGAAATCAGGGTGGAGAGTCCTTCAAAAGAGAGGATGGGAGGTCCCATTCAACTTAGCTGTTTCCCTCCTGGGCTTTTTTCCAGAAGAACTGAAAACATCATACTACAGAGCTATATGTGCACTCATATTTATAGCAGTGCAATTTGTCATAACTAGGTCTCGGAAACAACACAAATGCCCATCTGAGGAATGAATAAAGAAGAAGTGGTATTTTTACACAATTCAGTATGATTGAGCTATAAAGCAGGATCAATCTGAGGATTTTATTAGTAAATCAATGCAAATAGAGACCATATTGTTAAGTGAAATAACTCAGACTCACTTGAGCAAACATTGGATTGTCTCCCTAGTGTGAGAACCTGAAAAAGAAAATAAAATCTGAAGGGTACAACAGATTCTTGGAAAAGAGAATGAACTTATTTTAAAAAAACAAAAAAAAAGGAATTTCTGGGGCAGGAGAGATAGCTCAGCTGCATACACACCTGTTTGGCAAGTGCAAGGTCCTGAATTCAATCCCAGGTGCTGAAAAATAAAACAACAAAAAGAAGGAATTTCTAAGTTCAGGAAAAGGACAGGAGAGGTAGAGGGGGAGAGAGATCTATGTATGTAAGGAGGATGGCTTGGACAATTGTAGTGTGGGTTTGTACTGATCTATGACAAGGAGTAATTAATGCTTGTTTTATCTCCTCTTTTCAATTTTCTCCTTTTTCTCTTTTAAACTTCATGTATATTTCTTTCTTTTTTTGATTATTCTTCCAATTTTGTATGCCTATATCTGGTAATACATACAACTAGTTGGAGGACAACGCTATGTATTACAACAAATACTGTGAAATTCAGATTATTTTGTTAAGTGAAATTTTGTATCACTTGTAAATTTTTTATATTACTTTGTAAGGGCTAGGGAGATGGCTCAGTAGAATAAGCACTTCCCTGGCAAACGCAAGGGCCTGAGTTCAATCCCCAGTTCTGAAAAAAATAAATAAATAAATATATTACTTTGTATTCTCTTTTAAAAATGTAAAAAAAACAAACAAAAAAACCCTCACCATCTTTCTGTCCCACCCACCCAACCTCTCAGGCCCTGAGATTCCAGTATGCATTATTCCCAATGATCCCTTATCTTTTTTAAAAAATTTTATTTATTTATTTATGTGTGTGTGTGTGTGTGTGTGTGTGTGTGTGTGGCCAACTCAGCTCACCAGGGGGCGGGGCTGGCTGGCATGTGGTGCTGGGGGATTGAACCGCGGTCCCTGTGCTTTGCTAAGCTTGCTCTAAGTAGGTGTTTTAGACCACTGAGCCATCTCAACAGCCCATCCCTAATCTTTTATTAATTTTCATACCAAGAGCTCACATTAGGAACAGCCTTTCCTTTCATAACTAGAGAAAAACCTCAAAGTATAAATATTGAAGGAGGTGTCACAGGGACAGCAAGAGCCGGATCTAGGGATAATTTGCTCTTGTCTTTTTCTTCTACTTCTTCTTTTTTCTTTTAGTACTGGAGAATGTAATTACTTCCTTTATAGAGAGTTACACCCCTGGCACTTATATTTTCATTTTTATACTTCTGAGACAGCAGTAACAAGATGCATTTTGTTACTAGTACCTCGGTATGGGCTTGATCACACAATCCTCCTGCCTCAGCCTCCCAGAGTGTTGGGATTTCTGGCATGTACCTCTGTGCCTGGGTTTTTTTTTCCTTTTGTATTTTTTGAAGCAGGACCTTTCTATGCAGACTGGGCTGATTTGAACTAGAATCCTGCCTCAAGCTCAGGAGTACTGGGATTGTTCACTCTTTTTTGCAGGACTCATTGGAGGTGCTGCTGAGTGTTGGTGGAGGTAGTGCTGGGTTGGGTGACTGCTGGCTTCTAAGTTGAAGAGAGAGAAGCAGGAGAGGCTGGACAGCCATCAGGGCACAGGGCCAGAAGGTGATCGTTTTGTCACTGCACAGCAGTTAGAATGAGGTAGCTTTGTGGGAAAGGGGGCTCAAGGCCAAGCCATCTCCTCAGGTTTGCTGGGGGGAAGGAAGCAGCCTGCAGGGCTCTCTCCCATGCCACCCTCACCTGTGCCCTGAGGCACATGCAGCTGAACAGGAACCACCACAACACAGGCACCCAAGCCTCACACCCAGCAAAGCCCAGGATCTCTCTGCCTGTCCTTTTCACCATTTCAGGTAGAGGGGACAACAATGGCAGCCAAGGTGATTGTGGATGAGAGGAGCCTCCATTCTCCACTCCAGGGTCTGCAATATACACTCACCAGCGTTTCACATGTCCCACTGTTGCAGGTAGTTGAGTTAGCTAAACATATTATAGGCAGTCAGACAGCGCCAGGCCCTTGAAGGAGATAACAGAAGTTACCTTACAACTGTGAAAGGGACGGATGCTCCCACTGTGGGCCAGACCTAAAGACCAAACAAATGCTAACCTCCCTAAAGATTGACATCCGCGTTTGATCTTCACCCTGAGAAAGCCAGGAAGACTCATTATCTGATGGCCACCAGATAAAGTCCTATTTTACATTCATGCCCACTTACTACATGACTCTCCTCCTCATTTAGTCATGGGCTTAATCAATTTTACCTGAGCAATGGTACTTGTAATCCCATTGTTTGACCATAGTTTTGTCCCACCCCACATCCACCTAAGCAAGTTCCCATTTTTTCCACCTTAGTCCCCCATTGTTTTACACTATAAAAGTCCCGGGAAGAGACAGCTTCCCAGGGACTTCCCACTTGCCCCTCATCCCTGGTCCTCTCTCAGACAGGAGCTTTCTTTCCCTCAATAAATATATTCTGCTCACAACCTCTGTTTGTTCTTAAAATTCATTCTTCAGTTTTAGAGAACATGAACTCATCCAGGTCAGGTCAGGAGATCATTTTTCCCTATGTTATTTGGAGGTTCCCTGTATCATTTGGAGGTCACCCACCTGA